AAAATCGATTTTTTGGAAAACCGATTTTGCGTAAAATTCCCGTTTTTCCTTAATTTTTATGTTGTTTTTCCCGGCGCTTGTGAAAACTACTGGGAAATTTTTACTTTTGACCCCCCCCCCCAAAGTACCAACTAGATTCACTTTCCTATCAGAAAAGCTACTGATGAAGAAAATCCAAGCACTTTTACTGTCCTAAAACGTGATGACAGACACAAAAAAAAATATAAAAAAAAAACACACATCATTGTAAAACCAATACATTCATCGCTCCGCTCAGAATCTAAAACTAAATTATAATGTCATTGCCATAGTATAGAATTTAAATATAGTACCTATAGGTGCCTATAATATTATATTAATATGTAAGTCAAATATTATCAAACAACACAGGTATTCTACATGGCGACATGACGTGATAGTAAATAGTTATGGTAAGACATGCTGACCTGCAGTTAACTTATTAAAAATCTTGTGAAAATTAGTTCATATATTATTATTTACTCTGTAGTCTGTATCCGATGGTAAAACGATAAATTCATAAAATATCAATCATTTTCGACAACATTAAAAAAAATAAAAGATATTTATTAATTTATTATGGTGAAATATTTGACGATGAATCAGAAAATAACGTGTGTAGGTGTGTGTGTGTATTTGGCAATATATTATTAATTATTATACTTTTTTGCAGCAGACAACATACGGGCTCACACTCTCACAGCAAAAGGGTAAATATTATTATATTATATTCTTGAAGAAACCTATGAGGTATAGCTACTTGTGATGTAATACAAAATAATACTAATTATCTTTTAGAAAACAAGAGAAATAATCTACCTAGTAATTTAATTTTGTCGTACTCAACTTGTACTTGAAAACAGTAAGTTAATATGCTGATGATCCATGAATGACGAATGTCTAAACACACTTATACAGTGTACAGTGGTCTTACAATTATTATTTACGTCATGATTTATATTCCCCGTCTATTCAGTCAAAACACGTAATCGAATAGTTTCATCCATTCAACAAAAAATGTTCGAACGAACGATGGTAATTAATAATCTACGATTCCGGAATATTATACGTATTGCCTATATAATATACCATCGTTTATTGTCTTAATGTAGGTACCTATATACAAATATAGGAACTCCGAACGTTGAAATCATTGTATGGTGCGCAACAGGTTAAACTAGTTTAAAGAAAATAAAAAAAAAATAATGAGCCTTACGTTGAACTTTAGTCATATGACTGGCACAAGGATAAATGAAAGAACTCTCACTTTCATTTCAGTTCATGTCCAATAGGTATATTCAGCCGCCTACCTTGTAATTTGATTACGACGTTAAAATATGGTCTATAACCTATACCTCATGTATTCATCGAGCTCACAATGTAAACAATGAATATACTGGGCTTTCTCGTTACAATATGAAGTAAATAATCGACGTTTTATTGCAAATATTAATACTGTTATTCAATACTTAATAAGCTCTTACAAGAGCTTCGCAGTCTATATTAAAAACTCGTCGGATCACAATGTATGAGTGAAATAATGTTGTACTATGTACTAGGAAGTATCAACTAGACTTTGGTCTGTTTTTAGAGTTTTCAAAGTTCATTGTGCTATATTTAATAATTATGATAAAGATGATTAAAATATTTAAGACTTAGGGGTAAGAATAATATGGGCTTTGTTCTCCTATTTAGTATTTAAATATATAAAATATATTTTTTTTTTTAAACTAAGTCCCCCTAAAATATTGATAAATCTCCAACCATGCTAGTACCTATGGTACTATTTTCACTTTTCAACTACTTCAGACGTACAAAATCGAGGGAAAATTATAGATAGGTAAATAATAATATTATTATCGTGTTGATTGTGGAACAATAATAGGAATAATCGGATGATAGATGAAAATATATTATTTGTTAGAAAATATCACGTGTGTACGACGGGATAACAATTTCATACAATAATGCATCGATGTATACCTAATATGTTATTGTTTTTATTATTAAAACTGAAGTGGCACTATTCGCGCTTGCGGTTCTATTATATTCGATAGGGATGACGCGACCATCTTGGCCGTGACCACCGCAGCTGTGTTATAGGCTATAGTGTATACATAATACACACAAGTCCACAACTATAGAGACATAGAGTCTATACAATTAAATTCATCATCAGTTGTGTAAACGTGGTTACGTGGTTTATATCTGCATATTTAGGCGTACATAGCGTATAATATAATATAATATTATTATTACTGGTTAGAACACATATTATGTTCTGATAATGTATCTTCGTGTGTGCGTTAGCTGTAAAAACGACCAGCACGTATTTGTTCGAAGACCAAGAGAGTCGACCTACGCACTGCACGATCGTTATTTTCACATTCTCGTTGTTATTATTTTAGAAGAAAAAAATAGTTATTTTTGCTCATGAATAAGTACGTAGAAAATTCACATTTACGTATAGCCCCGTATAACTGTAGTATAACGTATAAATGAATACTGTATAGTATGAATAATGAATATAATCATAATATTATGACTATATGAGTAATGGATGGCGCAGAACGTACCCTAGGTGATCATTTCGAAGGCGAGAGTCGAGAAATTACTCAGGAAGACTGTATTCAGCAGTCAGCACGTACTTTATTTTTAATACGAAAGTCGGTAATCGTCTTGTGATCAGTAAGTCTAAATGTGTATTGTGTAGTGGTTTTAAACAGCGCTACATTTGAATAAATGTACATCCTGCATTGGCCCATCATGGACCAAAATTTCAATAAATTTAATGAAAAGTATAAAATATAAAAACTACTGAATTCAAATCATCTCAGCGTTGATACATAAATATAATATTTACTGTTTAAATACTTAGGTGAAATCATTATAACTTTTATTATCTAAAACCATTTTTTATCATTTATAATAATATATACTTTTACCGTAATTTTTAGTATAATAACGTATCATCAGTACAATTAAATACATTCAAAATAATTCAAATCAATATCAAATCTAATAAAACGTATACTTATAAATAACGGAAAAAAATTTCTATCGTGATTTAATAAAATATCAATGAAAAAAAGAGCTATTATTGAGACACTTTGTTCTCGGCTAATATAATAAATGTAATTGTTCAGTGAAAGTATATACAACTATGTTCATATAATAAATTGGATATTAATTTAACTTTAATAACGTGTCTCTTTGCACCTGAGCATCTAATAATTATAATGACTGTTGTTCATACGTAGTAGATATAAGTCTATAGGTTAGCAGTTACCGAGTGTAAAAAATAAAAATCATTTTTCGAATAACTTACAAAATTTAACATTTTAAATCGTATAATTATTATACTCGCAGTCTTCGAGTCACGTGATATCGAGAACCGTGCATCTACACAACAAACGATCATAATATTATTATACCATATACCTATGTATAAACAAACAGCAATACGACGATATAATCTGATGGTGTAAGTTTTTCTACCTATAATATTATATAGATAATTGTATTATAATATTATAGACTATAGTGATTTAAATGCAAGAATGTGGACGAGAGAATTCGCACGATTCATATTTGTATTCGGATACATTTAGTCACACCTGCTATAATATTTTTGTTTTTGTTTATAGACATAATACAAATTGGTTCCATGCCAACTATAGGTCATGCTTTTTTATTATTCTTTCCACGCGTAAAGAATCCATTTAATAGTTCAAACTTTAAAATTGTCATTACGATCTACACCGCCTTCAATATATCATACCTATATTTTATATTTATACATATTGCCTTTTGGTTTATTTAGTATACACACAAACTGTATAATTTCAAGTCGTTTCTTGAATGTTTTAAGGGCAGATCCTTTAAGAAGTAATATCACTAAAAGTGTTTTCACGGTCCAGGAAATGATCTACCTATGATAGGTACTTTATATTATCGCGGGTAATTTCCACCATCCAGGCTTCACATTTTGTATTTCACCAATGACTGACACCCATAACTAAAACACCGAAAATACTGCATAACTAATGCAAGCCGTGAGGTGAATTACTTTTTTTCAAATATTGTGTTTTCTAGTGACTATTATAATCCACTTTATAAAAACGTGTCACCAACATTTGTACCGTATTGATACAAGCCAAGTATTCTTAACGATAGTCATTCGTCGTTTTCTTTAATTTGTCGCTTTGTAGATATATGTTTTTTTTATATATGATTAATAACAATTAACAAACACATTTAATGTCAAATAAGTACATAGACATAAGTTAAAACCAATAGATGCAGACACTCGGTGACCCACTATATCACGCCACTATCACATCATTATAATGTATAAATGTATAATAATATAAGCACTAATATGGTTACGCGTATCTAATAATTATAGTAATATTACGTATATGAAACCCTTGTATTACTTATAGTTTTATACCCACAGGCTACAGCCTAACACTGAATCGCCTATTTACTTTTTCTTAATAAAAAAGAATACACCTTTCATTGTTGAGTTAATTTAAGCAGAACACAGCATATCTTATTCTAGGTTATTCATGCAAACGTTATTTTATATATAGTCCTTACATATAAGTTACAACCTACCGAATATATTATATAGATAGACAGATAGGTACTATTATATATAAAATAATAAAATTTATTAATTATCACATCAATAAATAAAAATCACAGCGCTGCAAAGGCAATTTATATTGGAATTATTTTCAAAATAATATGGTTTTATACCCCACGGTTGCCATATTTTTGTGAGTGTTAAAACGCTATATTTTAAGAGAACTAAACATATAGAAGTTGTTGAGTTTTTTTTCAATATGCCTATCATATTATTTAAAGATAACTTATAAGAGACAAAATATACCAATTGGCATTTGGCCTCGTTTTTGGCAAGTTCACAAAATTATACATAGCGTAGAAAAAAAAACTAATAACAATATAGTACTGACCTTTGGTTTGCCAAAACGGGGGCTTCACCTCGTACGTCAAGTCTTCGAATTGGATATCCATCTTGCGTCGGAGACGAAAGACGACCCTCCGTCCACGTGCGAGTTTTTTTTTTGTATTTTTGTGTGCGCACTAGGTATTAGAACAATTTTTAAAAAAAACGTCACGAAGACGTGTTCAGAAAAATATGCCACGGATATTTCAGTTGTTGGGTTAATAGCGAATAAATATTGATATATTATAATATAATAATATTAAGAAAACGAAATGCTCTAACCGCTCGCTACGTCCATGGCGGAAAATAATGTGTACTGCAATAGCATGTTATTAAAATAATGATATCGCACTGTTGTATGTGTTTTATAATGTAATTCTTTCTTCGGTCAGCCCGGAATAGAGGTAAAAGCGTGCTCTGCGGACGACCGCTACCACGAAATTGCAGGTATAAACCGATTGGCGAACATGCGCGCGCTCGGGTGGAGAAACGACCACTGAACCGGATGGACGATGGTAAAAATGTCTGTACAAATTGTGTATAGTGTTATATATTATTGTTATATAAAAATAATAATAAAATACGGCCGTCGCGTCTAGCAGCCGGTTACCGTTGTAAAGCCGCTGCGACGCATACCGCGGTAGTATACGCGCGGTGAAAGATGGTTACGGTGTAAATGGGCGCGAAAGAGACACAGAGAGAGCCGAGTCTTGACACTGGTGCCCGAAGACTAGGAGGAGGAGACGTCGGTCGAGGGAGGTGGGAGCGGCGATCTTCGATTTGTATATAGCGGTTTTCAGGTTTTTTCTCTTTCCTTATATACCTACGTACCGCTAGTCCTATATAATTATTACGTATAATCGACACGCACCCTCTATAATAGGCAATTGGACCAGCCTATCATTTTTGGATGGACCAACATATTAGATAACAGTAACATAATATTAAAGCTAATGTAAATCGTTTATTTATGAAAGGGGTTAAAAATCATTTTCGGTCAAATCGCTTGTTATGAAAAAAAAACTTTGGGATTGTAATAGAATCAATCGTTTATTTTTGTTGTGTTTGAGAAAAAGTTCTAGAATTGGAATAGCCCTCTAAAAGTATTATATATTTTCTGCAGCTTCTAAAAGCTGCAGGAAAATCAGACCTTGAATGAAATATCCTGCGATAGCACATATTTGATTGGCACTGGTATTTAGATAAATCATTATATTTCAGTAGGTTAGGACTATTGACAATTGCCAATTGGTTTGTGTGTTAAGCTGTTCTGTGACATGTTACGTGCCTTACAATCGACTGTACAATAACTATGACAGAATGTGAGGATTTAAATAACAGAAGATTATTAATCCTATTTAGTATTTTGTTATTTATAGTTAATACTTCGCTACTAAGCTAATTTGTATTATATATTGATACAATATAATAATATTATAGTTTACACGAAGTCCAATCAAAATTAAAGACATCGCATCTTGTTATACAATTCGTTAGGGTTTTTGTGTATTAAAAAAATCATACTTATTCCTTAATAATATCATCGTAGTACCTTTAGAAAATATTATATCCTTTATCTTATGAGATATGAGTCTTACTCAAGGCCCGTAGGACATTGGTGCAATAAGCCAGTAATGTTGAGGACGTTTTGCTGATTATAACGGATACCTCATTCCAAATAACATTACATATACCTATATTATACAGAGTGTATCACAAATATTTTATGAAAATTATTATATTTAACTGGAAATCTTGAGTACCTAAACTAACATACGGTATTTTTAAATATACTTATATTTTTTATTCCATTTGAGGACGTACGTCAGACCAGACCTGTGTCAATATACCTACACTATTCTTTTTTCAAATGATAACTTGGTAAAATAACTTGCTAAACATACAATCAGTTTACAGTAAAAATATGATAGTCAGATTATTGTTTTACGTCTCGGAAGGTATATAAAATATATTATAAATCGAAATTCAAACGATTAGTTTCTGAATAATACTAAGGATAAAAGGTAAAAAGATAAATGGCCAATGGGGCTATGATGATTTGAAAATTAAAGTAGGTTATAACTTATTAGTATTAGCATTTTACGTTAGAAAAATTTTCGAAGTTATAAATTATGATAGTAAGTAGGTACTAGTTGTACTACACCCAAATACTGAATATTATATCTAATTTATAATTATTGTAAGTGCAACTATTTTAATGATTGTTATCCTTAGTACTTAGTAGCTACCTAGTTAATACACACATTTTAATAAGTAATTCAGAAAACACTAGTACAAATTTTGATTTATAACATTTTCAAAAAAACTAAATATCTGAAAATAATATGGTGCGTTTACTGTCCAACTAGTATAATAAAAAATTCCAAAAATTAGAATTTGAATAAGTAAGACGTCTCATTAATTAAGTAGCCGAGTTTGCTTGGCGAATCACATTGTATAATATAACTTAGGTATAATCAGTGCTCGAATTGGGGGGGACGCAGGGGGACGGAGCTCCCCTTCAAATTTTAATTTTTTTTAGCGTACCCCTTCTTATATTTTTAATTTGAACGGGGGGACGGTACGTCTCCCGTGTAAATTATTATTGACAAACTTATAAAACGTTTATTTATAGATATTTATTATATATTATCAATTTGAAAAAAATATGCGATAAATTGTAAATTTCATTAATGATAAAAATCAAAATATATAAGATAATAAGAAATCTTAGTCCGTGATTATAATACAGGCTTACATATACTGATATACTAATAATGTGTATAAAATATAAATAATGTATATTATATCGAGATTAAAATTAAAAATTCATGTTATCGGATGGTCGGTAACACTGTAAACAGTACCTATGTAGTTCAAAATATTGAAGAGAACCATTCATATGTAGAGCTATGGAATATATTAAAAATTAAAAAATTAAAATAATGTATAAAATATCTTAAAATAAAATAAAAGATTTGTTTGTAATTTAATAATGTTTGATTTGTTTGATTTGTGTTGAAAATAATTCATGGGGGGTGTGGGGGGCGAAGCCCCCCACGGATTAGTTTAGTTTAAATCATTGAGTGGAACGCTAAATTTTTAAAAGTCCTTTAGCACCCCTTCTATTATATTTCCAATTCGAGCACTGGGTATAATATTATATTATCTGAATCCCACGCGATAACTTATAAGTTATAAGTTTTTAGGTTAAATTTACAACTAGTTCAACATGCACGATGCACGGAGTTTTCAGATGTCTTGCCCGGATACTCGTAAATAATAACATCATAAAAAAATATGAATAACACCACGTCGTAAACAAATTGTTCATATAATGGCATAATACGTAATATTATATTTGATTCGTTTTCAACTGCGCGCCGGAAACAGTGTTTCAAATAATATTGTCTGTTAAGTATTTTAAATTACACTTTGGGAAGAATGTGCAGAAATCGTTTTTTTTTCTTTTCCATATAGCCAACTAACTTATTTCGTCGGACGACGAATATTGCGATACGTGCAAATAATTTTTTTTGTTACTACCAACAATTTTCTGCGGTAAAAATACGATCACGATCGTTTTGAATTATTATGAAATATCATTTTTGCTTTTATACTTTATTATAATATTATTATTATATTATTATACTTTATTATTGTCATAATATAATATTGTGAAATTGCGGTTGTAGGTACCTATACTTCTCCCGCCGACTACCACCGTGGTTGTTGTCAGTCAAAATTGTTGTCTCCGAACGTCGGGATTTTTATCCCTACAGATAGTATAATCTAGAGATGTGAGTGCTGTTAATTTTACCCATTTTTTTTTTACCGGTAAACTATTTTTTACCAATAAAAATGTTGTGTGGCCCCTCTAATTAAATGAAATCAAAAACGCATAGTCTGGATTGTAAAGAGATATCTTTTTTATCAACTGATACTGTGATTTTATCATTTATAATATTGATATACTTGTTATTGTTTATATAGTTTGTTATAGACTATAGGTAGTATCAATATTCTGTCACCCCTACTATATTTTAGAACATTAAATATCAGTAGGTATTTAGGAAACATTTTATATAGGCAGATCGCAGATACCAAGAAGGTAGATATATGATATTGATAATACACTATTAATTATTATTAATACAAAAGTTAAGTCTAAATATACATGTTTTAACTTAAAAAGTACCTAATTAAGGTTATGTGAGTTTTGATAGTTAAGTTTAATTTAAATTATTTATTAATTGTAATATGAATAATTAAATATTCATATTTCATAAAATTTACTAATTACTAATGTCTAATACAGAACAATAGATAATATATATTATTATATTTTAGATACATTTTTTAAATATTTTATTATTAGAAAGAACTAGATTTAACAAGTAGGTATACAACATTAGTACCCAATACAAATCGTATTTATTAATGTTTAATAGAAAAACATAACAATGGCTCTAAGATTTAGCTATTTTAATATTTTTACCACATTATTGGTAAATTTACAAATATTTTTTTTACGTAAATTCTCCATCTCTAGTATAATCAGCGAAGAGAAGCACGGGTTTTAAATATTATAATAAATCGCATTAATGCATATATTATATTACAGTGTAACAAAAATCAAGACACCCGAAGCGGTATTTTTGGCGAACATTGTCTAGATAAGTCATGTCACTATATTATATATACTGGTATATGTAGATTTCTCTATTCTCTCTCGGTATCCACACTAATATATTATATTATGCAATATACATTTGCATTTTACAGTACGGGTACGCTTGCACAGCGTTTTAGTGCCTATCAACATAGACATTAAAAGTAAAAACTGTTAAATTCGTGAACGACGCTTATGATATTTTAACGAGTTTCATTATGGAAATCACCAATACCGGTAGATTAGTCCCCGAAATATACAATAAACAGTCATCAGTTCGTCACTCATCGCTATGTCACAATAGTCACAATCGATATTAGATCAGTGGTTCCCAAACTTAGGTCCTAACTAACTAATTAATCAACATTGGATCGCGAGTGCATTACTCAGACATAA